GAAGAGCGACATGAAAGCTGAAGGCTCTGCCTCCCATTCTACTTCTAAAAACCCTGGGAATTTGTCTCCCAGTTTACCTTAGCACATTAAAAGGTAAATAAAGATAAAATGGACTCGTGCCTTACAAAGCTACAATAACGCATTTTTTCATTTCTCTTTTCCGTCTCTTTGGACATGAATTGCTGTCCAGAGGCCCAGGTGGGGCAGTCTCCTTACTAATGACCTTTATTATTCATGTCTGATTATTATGGGAGCACAGTGGAGGGGGAGCCATCATTTCTAGCTCTTCCAGTAATGAGGTCGGATGAAGGTCTCACGACGGCCTTACCTACAGCGTGACCAGTAAACACTTTTAATTGGCTAGGCCGGGGCCAGAAATAATCTACAAATTAAGTCCAAATACCCATCGTCCTTGCTAGTGTTACGAGGTTTTATTTCCTAAATGGACACCAGCATCAGCTGTGCAAAGTTTGTGTATGATTTGCGCCTCATATGAGCTTCATGTAAACAGAAGTTAATTAGATGGAGGTATAATGTATGTTCGGGGCACTGATTTATTTTATTAATTTTTTTGGTTTTGTTTTAAAAGTCATGTTCATGTGCCACAAAATAATTACATAATTGGATTTCCTGGATCATTGCAGAGGATTTAGCAGGAATAGGGAATGGACTCTCTGATTGCCAATTCCAATGTGCCCTTATAGTCGAGGCTCTAAGACGTAATTGCTGAGAGGCTAACGGTGTAGGAGCAGTGTTTTCCCTGATGAGGTGTGTAGCTGAACAAAAGTGCTGAAACGCAGCTTTGGGGCAAAAACACATTTACTTTGGTGCATAAATGATGAGCTGATGTGATGAATTAAATAAGTGGATTTTTTTTTTTTTTTGCTGACCTGATTTGCCTCTTGCCGACACAAACACTGCTTCAACCTTTCCATTTCTGTCTGCGTGCAGGGTTGTTACCCCCGGCCCCCAGCAGCGGCATGGTGATGCTGCAAATGACAGCAGCCCCCTGCCAGCAGCCCCGGGCCCCCTCCCCCTGCCAGAGGAAACCACTCAGCCACAAACACTTGGGCCCCGAGCACCAACGCAACCGCAGGCCCGCCGAGCTCCCTCCGCTTCCGGACAACACCCAGGTACAAACGCTGCCCAGGCGCATCCATCAGGCAATCACAGAAGAACAGCGGTGCCTTTCAGACCGTAGTTTCTCCTTTGAAACCATTTAATTAGCTCGGCGACCCAAAGGTTTTCATTTGACGGGAGCAACTTCCAAATAATTTTGAATTCAGTTGTAAATTTGTTCAGCTGATGTTTTCTACATAGGACCATACTTTACGTGTCAGAAAGTTAAGACGGTCACAAGAAAGCAATTTGAAAGCCAATTTAGTTTGTTTGTACGCGTCTGACAGTTGCGTGAGAATTGTCGCCTTGAGCCAGACTCAGCTTGCCTGCTGTTCCAGGCAGGTTAAATGTCGTAGTAAATAGGCTCTGCAAATGAAGTGAGTGCTGCCGAAACCTGAAAATGAGGAGAAAATAGTCCTCGGCATTAGGGTGTAATGGTACATTAGTGGGACTAATGTGGATAGAATGGAACATTAAAGCAATGACTTGAACCACAGAATGACTTTGTGAAAGGAAGAAATGGCCACAGTTGCTTTTTTCTTTTTCTTTTTTTTTTTGAATGAAAGTGTTTGTGTTTCCTCCCGGTTTCCCCTCTCTGCATCATCTGTGTGTTGTATGTAGAGCAGCCTGCCCTCGTCTCCGGCACTCACTCCCTCGCCAGGCCAGCCGCCCAGCGTCAAGGGCCTCCCAACAGGCATCTCACCCATCCCTGTCATGGCCCACCACCCGCAGCTCCCTACAGCCTTCTGCCACAGTGGACAAGGTCAGAGACACGCAGTAGTATTGCAGTACATGCTTACAAACATGGCATCCTCAAAACTCAGTGACTGTGCAGTTCAATGGCGCACGAATGCATTCAACATCAAAAAATGTACAGTTGAAGCATCTCTTATCTGGATGAATGAAACCTTCTTCCATATTCACAAGCCTTTGCTTATGTACTGATATTCCTGAGGTTTTAAGATTGGAGTGAAGAGCATGATCATGTGTTTTAAACTAATCCTGCTGAGGGGCATCATTTCCTGATGCTAAATGAAGGAGTCAGTGCATTGGAGAACACTTGAGGGTCTGTGCAGCAACTTTAAATACAACAGTAACTTCAGCTGTGCTTGTAAAAGATGTCTAACCTAAGATTTAACATTAAGGGACAAATTGCACTAAATTGCTTGAAAAGCATGCTGCAAAGTAGTTTAAGCAGTAGCTAACTTCCCAACTTCCTGCTTGCCATGAACAATGTTAAAGCGTGCGTGTTTTTAAACAGGTTCTAGCACACAGGATTCAATAAATGTCATATATCATTTGTTTAAACTGGCAGCTATACTTGGAGTTTATATTTTAATCATTGATTGTCGAGTACTTTAGTTAGCCACTGTCTATGTAGCTGCAGTTAGGTTCTAAAGCGATTTAAATGACTACAAACTGATATTTGAAAAGGTTGTTTTGACTCTGATTACCAGGTGAAGCGCACTACTCTTTACTGGGCCAGCCTTTGCAGTACAAACCCTCCATCAGACCTCCGTTTATCCACACTGCACACATGATGGCCAAACATCAGGTAGTACTGGTTTTCCACTTTTGACTTCTTTTTCCTTGTCCTGCCGCCCACAAGCACACCTACCTTACTGGCATCTTCTGTCTCCTCAGGTTCCTCTGGGGGTTTGGCGTGGCAGTCATGGGAGGAAGGCCGGCAGAAAATCAGTCTCTTCAGATCTCAGTGTAGGTGAAGCAGGTAATAGGAAGACCAGAGGGAGGCTTAAGCTTAGTGAACCTCGAGTTAGCGGCAGGTTCTGACCGAGATTTGACCTCTTCAACACAGAAGAAGCTCCAAATCCTAGTCCAGAATATTATGTAGTGTTTTGGGTTTTTTTCTTTTCAAATTCAGGCCAGCAGTTTGTAAAAACACGCACGCTGGCTGGAATGTCAGCCTTTAGGTGTTTATCAGAAACTCGTGCTGAGATTCATCACCAGATAAATCCAGCTGCTGTGTAGTCTCTTTGCCAGATTAAGTGGAGTAACATCACCTTTTTTATTCTGTCAAAATCTGCTTGCTGTGCTCCGTATCTGTGGAGAAAGCGTCTGTTTGTGAATGTAAGCAGAAATAATTTCCAGACGGGGCAGAAATCACACCTGGCAGTAGAACCTGCAGTCCTGGCAGTATTAACACTGACACAAATGTGCTGATTATTTCAAATATCACGCTGTATTTTTTGCAGGTGCTGAGATTTTTTTTCCCCCTTCATTATTCAGGCGCTTTAGTCAACAATCCCACTAGGGGCAATCAACAAGGACTGGGGCTCATACGCAGCTTCTTTTACAGAGGAATTAAGACTGAGAGATGGACCTTTTCTTTTTAAAGAAAATGTAAAAAAAAACTCCAGTAAATTATAACCAGACGCATAGATCTGTTTGTCCTTCCAACTCAAAGATTTAAAGCTGACAGCAGCATTTTATTTGAAGCCTCCCGATGGTGCAGGTCTGATGTTGTTGCCATTTTTTTGTTTGTTTCCCCCCCTCTGCTCACCCATGACAGTTGTTTTATTTATTGGCTCTACTGCTCACAGCGCTGTCTGTCTGTGTGCGTCTGCAGTGAGCAGTCAGATTCTGGACGTGACACATCCTCCGGAGGGGATCAGCTGTACAGACTCCCACCACCTCCTGGCAGAGATGTACAAAGGGGGCGAATCGATCCGCCGGCTGTCGGACCAGCAGCCACGGTTGTGCAACTCGACCCGAGGCGCTCCCGGCAGAGACCTGGCCTCGTCGCGCCCTATCTTTGCCATGCTCCCCTCCAGACACACCACCCCGAGCGCCGTGTTCCGCCCCACAGGCCCCCGAGCCGCCTTTAAACTCAGAACCGGCAGCGGACACAAAGGGGAGCTGTGCGACTCAGACAGGACTGGCTCATAGCTGCTAAGATCTCAGAGCGGCACACATGGAACGCACATCCAACCACCTGCCTCTGCTGCCTCAGTCTGGACTGTCTCCCAGACGCTGTCCAAATCGAAACATCAAATGTCTGAAGAATGAATGTTCATTTTTATTTTGTTTTAGTTTCTTTTAGCTTTTTTCCCTTTTTTTCGGCCAACAGGTCTGTGCAGGGTGGAAACCGAGCACCAGTTTGTAACATTTGTCCGTAGCTGCAGAGCTCCGCTCAGCGCCCCACTTCTATTCTAAAACTCGAGTTTGCTGTTCTGAAGTCAAAGTGTTTGGAGACTTTTGGGGTTTGTTTGCCAGCTATCACATTAGTGTGTCTACTGCGGCTGTTTTAGTACCAAATTTTTTTTTTTTTTTCTTGCCACTTTTTGAAAATTAGATGATATAATTATGTTTAAATTGAACTGAATGTGTCACGTTGGGTGTTTAAAGATTCTAGAACGGCACGTAGCAGCATTTGTAGAAGAAACACTGAATCACAGATAAACTACCTGAATTATTTAAAGTCACCATTAAACACCGTGAATGTTGCATTTGCACTGAAGTGATGATCAGAGGTGGAGATTTGACTGGTATCGGACAGAGCCTGGGTTTTTCTTTTATTAACCCTTAATACCTGTTTGTTTGCACTCGACCAGGCCACTTTGTTTTATATATTAAAATGTTTATATGCACAAGAATAATACAATCGAGTTTGTCACTACTTGGCTTAATTTGTTTGGATTTCTGTTTGTGTGACTCATGAGAGGTGTTCTGTGTATGGCGTGGCTTTTCTTCTTTTCTTTCATTTTTTAAAAATTAGATTCTAATAAATGTTTGCACCACAAGTGTTGACTTTTTCCACTAGTTAGCTGCAGTCAGCAATTTCAAGGTCTAATTGAAATGTTTCCTTGGGAGCAAGATGTCGCTTCGGTATGGGAGAGAAGAGCAACAGATGAGGCAACTCTGTGGAAGATGTTGCCATGAGGTTTGTATCTGTGCCTTTTGGGCAGTGCGGAGATGTTTGCTCTGCTCTGCAGCCTCATTTCCAGCTGCATGAATGAGCCATTTTGAACGAACGCTCCTCTCAGCCTGGGATGTAGTGAAACAGAGACACCTAGTGGGCAAAGTTCGTTACTGCATTATGAAAGCACTATGGAATTAACGAGTGAAAGTGAAACTAACAGAAAACTGGTTTAGTGGTTACATATTAAAGACAGGCGTGTTTAGTGTGGCCGAAAAACGCGGGAGTATCTAACCGTTATGTCGACGCTTCAGTGCTAATGTAGCATAACAAAAGGGTAATGGAGACCGACTCCTGGGAGAACAGCAGGACGGTGGTTGTCTCCGGTGTTCCCAATGTGTTGCCCCCCGGCAGGATAACTGATAAGCTGACCATTCACTTCCAAAGCACCCGGAAGAGTGATGGAGGAGACGTCGAAAAGGTCAAATATCCCACCAACATGGACGGAGTTGCGTTTGTCACTTTTGAAAACGAAGAAGGTAAATTAGCAGGTGGTGGCTAAAGCCAGGCTATAGGCTAACATGTCGCTACTGATAGTGTGTAAAGCTGTGCGTCCTTCAATAAATACATTAATGACAACAAGCAGTTTTTGAGGGTGTCCCCTTCCAACCAACAAAAGCTAATCTGCGTATGAGCAGTTCTTCCAGCGCTCAGTGAGTTAAATGAAGTTGCCCAAAAAGCTGCTCTAAAAAGTTGTCCACTCTTCGCTAATTTAAGCTAAATGTTACTGCAATACTTCAAATTTTGATTTCAGTCCGTTTCCAAGTAAACCCAGGCCCAGTATCGCCGACACTTTCAGCCTATACAGGCTGTATGATGATTTATGAGATGACTCACCAGTTTGTAAACAATGAACACTTTTTAATGACCGCTTACTGTGATTTTTACTTTTCACAATAAGTCACCGCATGTAAATGTGCCTGTCTCTGAAGCACTTTGGATTCGGCCCAACTCTTCAAAAAATAGAAAAAGAAAAGAAAAGCAGTCTGTTTTCTTCAATTTATGATTTTTGTGTTCACAGTTCTAAAATAAAAAACAGTGTAGCAAACAACATCTTAAAACTTCATAGTGTTGTGACAACACTCATGTATACAGATATTTTACTACAATAAAGGCCTAAAAACAACGTACAGTTGAATCTGTATGTACTGTCTTCTATCAAAAATATGAAGTTAATTTCAGTTCAGACACATTATCATTGCTGCATAACATACAGCCTGTTGTTTAACTCTAATGCCTGGTGTATTGTTTATTGTACAATGGGATTATTAGAAATTACAATAGTGCTCCCTGATTGGTGCAGTGTTCCAGTTACCTTAGTCAGACAATACTGACTGCTTTATGAGTTTGAACATATTCTGTTTTTTTAAAATAGGAGACTTATTTCCGGAGCTCTGTGAATGTAATAATAAATGACAGACACAAACTAAGGCCACCTTATCCATGTGGAATTGCAAATACCTAAAGGGCTTACACAAACTGTTTCGTCATTGTCAAACATATCTGATATTTTTTCACTATAATTGGTACCCACGGGAACCAATTTCAGTTTCCCCTGAGAACCACTTTTACATTATGCTGAGTGGAAAGGGTAATGTATGAATGAAACATTTGATTTTTGTATGATCTGCAGCTTGGATGTGTGCCTAACTGATGAATGGATTAATCTGATATTATCAAAGTGATGGACTGTTATATAAAAGCTAACATTAGACTGGTAGATAATGAGTCGAGTCAAGCTCTGTGCACTCTGAGTGACAAAAAAAAGTGTGCTAGCTTTGTAGGTTCATGAGGCATCATTATAACAATGACCTGGGTAGAGACCACAGCAGAACTGTGCTAACTTTTGGCAGATGCAGTGAGGGTGGTGGAAAAGAAGCAGCATATTATGACAGACAGCCAGTTTCCTGAAGACTTCGTCCTCACTGTGTTTCCCTTCAGCACAGATGTAAGTATCAGTGTGATTTTAAAACACCATGCCTACTTAAGTCACTTGCTTTTGACAAGCTTTTGATTGCAAAATAAAAGTTTCTAATTCAAGCACGTTTCTGTGGTGCAGGTGTTTTTCTACGTCCCAAGCGCTACGGTTGATCTTTCTATATTCGGCGGCAATCGGGACTTGGTGATTGAGAGCCTGCGGTCAGCTCACAGATCGCTGCGTTTTCGTCCTGTGCCCCAGGAGAGGAAAGTCTTCATTGAGGGGCCTTTTGCAGCTGTCCAAGCCCTGAGAGGGGACCTCATTTGCAGAGCCGATGAGCTTCAATCTGCAGTCACAGTCCAAACTGCTGGTATTAACCCAAGAGAAACTGGTCATAATACGAGGTTAATATCTCATCACAAGTATGTCGACTCTGTAAGCCACAGCAGCTCTAAGAGGGAACCCGCAAGCAGCTTATCAACATTATCAACACAGAGCCCAGGTAAGGCAAATGAAATCCAAAGACTTTTCTCAAAGACTCAAAATGCCTCCTTGAGGCAAAAAGTTTCCTCTGAGAGTTTGGCTCCAGGGAGGATTTTGAAAGCACGCATCAATGGAAAGGACAAACTGGAAGGTCAGCCAACCGAACAAAGAAAGGCCAACCACATACAAGTGGTCGAGAAGGAAATCAAAGCATCTTCCTTATCGGGCCTTCCTCAACCAGTATATCGCAATATCAACAACAGAGCCTTATAATGACAATGCCTCACAAAAACATCCCAGAGCAGGCAAGATTTCAGCCACAGAGATTAGAAGAGAGGGTGATTTGGGGTCTCACCAGAGCAGCATGGGCTGTTTGAAGAATCCAAGCAGCTCAGCAGTGAGAAGTAAGCTCCAGACTGAATTTAAAGATGTCTCAAAAACCTTGGAGAGATATACTGAAGGTCCCGCAGTGGCGTGTGGAGTCTCTCCGGAAGGTCAGGATGATATCTGGGTTGACTCTTACATATTCAGATACATCAAAACATTTCACAAGAAGGAGTTGGGCAGATGCTTTGCGGCCACTGACTTATCTGTCAGGTATGTTGTAGAAACTGACCTCATGCAAATATCGTTGACTGAGCAGCAACGTTCCAAGGTGACCTCAGGAGTCCAGAAAGCCATCCAGAAACTGAAAACTTTGTTTGAGTTTTAGCAATCAATCTTAAGAGTTCATAAGATATTTTACCATGAGGTGGGGCTGTCGGATAAATACCTAATAAATCAGATCTGTGGTGTTTTCAGTTTCCAGTTTGAAGATGTTCTTTACATATTTGAGGACTCCTGCATTAAAGCCATCAGCCCCTCAGTCCCTAGTCTGCTGTTCAATAAGAAAATAAAAGAAGGAATAATTAAATTCAAAGACACTCTTGTAAATTTCAGGCAATCTAGAAGGAATCATGAACGGATGTAGTTTAATCACTGACCACAAGGGGGAGTAGTTTTCTCTTCACAAACCCTCCCCAACACTGAAATCTATATTTATCTTGTTATTGTTACAGATGCACTGATTGTTGTTTGATACTGACACTGCGAGTTTTCATTTGAGCAGCTAATGATTAGAACTATAGAAATAAATTATACAGTACTGATGCGATATTTAATCAGTACTGTATAATTTGTGTTTTTGCTTTTTCTCTCTGTTTCTATGGTGAAGCTTCCCCTTTGTTTATGGATGGGTTAATAATTAAGCCTTTAAACAGCAATCCAGACTTTCTTCTCATAGCAGTGGGGATAAGTCTTAGTTACCCCTCATCACATCTTAATTAAAGACAAAACATAGACAAACATCGACAGATGTCAGCCTGTCTCACATGACCAAATCATTTAGTCACATATTATGTGAAATTAAATTAAAACAAAACTGATTTGTCTGTGTGGATTTTCTTGATGATTATTAAGTTTTTTATTATTAGCATTTTTAAGCATTATTAGTATTTGAGAATTTACTACAGTGACATCTGTTCTACATTTCTTTGCCTTTAGGATTTTACTACTTAGTGTCTATGAACCCTCGTTTTACTGGAATGCATGCCCTGCATTGGGCAGCAGGGTGCGGTAGAGTACTTTCATCTATACTGTGGGCTGTGTATAAATAGAGACACTGTAGCTGCCATGACTCGCCTCAATAAAGCAATTATGGAGGCTGGGTTTGGCGAGCAGGGTGCAGATTGGCAGGCGAATGATATCAGTTGGATGTCCCATTATACATCATCTCCCGTCCACACACATACAGAGTGTTACAACACAGTGTTGCACCTTTTCCAAGGAAGTACGCATTACATGTTATGTGTAGAAGGTTTTTTGTTTCTTTTTTTGGTTTGGAATTATTCAGACAAGCTTGCTGCACAGCCTCAATAATTGATTCATTATGTAAAAATAAGCCACATCACCGTAATAAACACACACAAACACAATCAGTCATCTCCCAGACGCACTCACTCTTACTTGTTACCATAGAAACGTAGTGGAAGAGGTTGGCAAGCTGCAACGTTGGGCGTCGTTAAGGGAAGCTCTTGAATACAATGAAAACAACCATGCGGGCGAAGGAATTACATTTCCAACAAAATAACCCTTCATCAAAGACGAGCAGAAGAGAGGCCACCGCCTGGTAACACCCAGACCTCTCTCCTACCCCTCTGATAGCACATCTTGAACAATTAGCCATCATTGGGGTGGGGGCTGGAGTTATTGTGGTAGAACAGAATGAGTCAACAAGCAGACGGCATGAATTATTTTTCCTGAAATGGTTCCGACTCGGGCCTTTCATCGCACCCACCCTCCTCATTATGCATAAAGTGTAATTAGGTACCAGCATTTTTGAATATATTAAGCATGTGTGACTTTCATGATGGAGGTCAGAAACAGCAGCAGGCCAAAAAAGGAAGCATTAGTGGAAATCTCAAGGACGTTTGCATCAGGAACGAGGTCTTCTGGGCTTCAAACCTGTAATTGGGCCTCTGAACCCTGTGCCTCTGATGAATGTTATTGTTCACACTTCACATTAGAAAATGACTCAAACCACTACAAACACTGACTGCAAATATATGCAGAATGACCACAAAGCAACCACAAAACAACAACAAACAGACAAAGTGACTATAAAGATAACAACTTCAAGAACAAACCAAGTGACGGACAAAATTACAAAGACAGTTACTACAAAAAGAACAAATAAACTACAAAAGGTTGGAAATCAATTTTTAAATAAGCATAATGATCAGAAAAACTAAAGGAACAAGCAAAGTTACTGGAAAGATCAAACGAAACAAAATTGTAGAAATTACAAAGGCATTCACATTGACTAAAAACAAGCAAAGAGCAAAAAAAACCCCACTACAAAGGGCATGCAAAATGGGATCCAAAACAACAGAATAACTAACTCAATTATATACAAATATACAAAGTTATTACAAAATGAAACAAAACAAATAACCATTCTGATCTAATTATTTGGTTACAAAGAGGCAAAAGATCAGAAAATTACAAAAACGTAAAAGTAGCAGAAGACGGAATTATAGAAAACTACAAAGGCTCAAACAACTACAACAAAAGCAAAATTACTGGAAAGTAAACACAAACACACAAAATGACTTCAAGAGGACCCAAACAACTGCAACTTGATACGAAATGAAACTCGAAATTATGCAAAAAAACAAACAAATAAAACAACTGAAAGTGTCTAAAAAGGGGGGAAAGGTAATAAAACAACAACAAAAACCTACAAATTACAAAATAAAAACAAATTACTACAAAGAGGTACAAAATGACTACAAAACTAAAATAAAATTATACAAAAGAACTACACATACCACCAGAGATGGGCAGTAACATGTTAAAGTAATCTGTTACTGTAATCCAATTACTTTAATTCAAGTAATGAGTAAAGTAAGGGATTACTATTGCAAAAAAAAGTAATTAGATTACTGTTACTTTCCCGTAAGCACACTGCATTACAGTGTTACTAAACCGTCGTGATTTTGTTTGTGAGTGTCTCATGACAATGACGTACGAGTGTGCGACGCCCGTGGAGGCAACAGATGTGTGCAGATCAACAATGGATAAAACAAAGTGTGGGAGCGAGTACGACCATGCAGCGTTTAAAGCATGGACGTACTGACATTACTGAGTTTGATTACATAAAAAGTGACAAAAACATTAGTGTTCACTTTACACTCTGCGTGGGAAGAAAACTTCTTTGTACGACGAAAAATGAAACTTTAAATCTGAGCAAGCACCGAGCTCGCTGCCACAGGAATGTGAAATTCACAGAAAAAACCCCCGGATCCACCCACTGACATGACCGCTGTGGCACTGGGAAAACCTCTTGCTAAACAGGTGACAATAGATTTAAGAGCGGCAGGACTCAGTGCTGCTGAGTCTTTGATTTTATTTAGTTTTTGCTGTTTTACTTGCATCTGTTTGAAAGAGTGAGTATAAACACACAAAGCTTTGTTTTATTTTATATGCTGGAATATACAGAAAATAGGTTTAAATGTTAAACAAATTTCTTCCAGTCAGACACTGTTGCATATAATTCGATTTTTGCTTAATTCAATGTGCATAAAGTTAAAAGATTAAAACTAATAAAACACGTTTTTTTTAAAAGAGACTTTTTCATTTGATTCAATTTTATATGATGGATTATGCAGAAAAAATTGAATTGGGCTTAAAGGTCTGTTGCTTTGTTCAGGTTGTATATCATGTTTTTAAAAAGTAACTAATTGCTTTTGAAAATAAGTAATTAGTAAAGTGAAAGGATTACCTTCTTGGAGGAGTAATTAGTAAATAATTACTATTTTCAAGTAACTTGACCAACAACTGCATACCACAACTACAAAGATACAAATGGTCACCAAACAACTATAAAAACATACAAATCAAATACAATAAATAAATAAACAAATAACAACAACAACAAAAGAAACAGCCTAAAAGGGTAAATTACTACAGAGATACCAAAATAGCGCAAACAGAAAAAATGACAAATGAACTACAGAAAATAGCAAAATGCTACAAAACCTGTTTAAAGAGACTCAAAACAGCTACAAGAAAATGCAAAATTACTTTAAAAAAACAAAACAAGGCCCCAAAAATCCAGAGAACATTTCAACTATGGGTAAAGTATCGCAAGAGAAGAGTAAGAGCCTTTGTCTGTTCTCAGAGTTCTCCAAATCCTCTGTGGATCGGATGTTACCTATCAGCACACGACTATTCACTGTTTTAATTTAAAGTGTGTATTTTTGTGCGGTTGTGCTCAGGCGCACACATCATGGAGGTCAAAGGTCAGAGAGAGAAGCAGCAGGCCTCTACATCATTCCTTTTCCACAGTGTGGAATAGAGCTTCAGGTGATGGATAGCATTCTTCAGGCAATGTGTGTGTGTGCACGTCACAGTCACAAATTACGTCTTAATGACTCTCTTTACAGATCATCACCCTGCCCGGGAGAAGGGAAGCAGGCGGGGATATGAGTCGCCCCCCCCCCCTGCTGCTCTGCCTAAATGCAGTAGTGCATGGGTATTAGCAAGCTGTGATGGAAGAGCCTTGTAGGAGAAATTGGGGGCAACAGACCAGGAAAATGGTTTGTGTGTTATCCGTGGAGAAAAGGACAAATGGTGTTTAATTGGTCTGACAACATATGACCCACAATGTAAGCATAGTGAATCACCGTGGAATTTTGCAGTTGGTACGCAAGTGTGACTGACAGTCAATGTTTAACATGCATCTCCTCAAATTGCATTCATTATGGTGTTATTAACCGTCTCGTATATCTTTATTTCAGTTATTTACTTCTTTTCAATATTTGGGAGCCATACTTTAAGAATAAAAATATTAACATCACTTTCAAAGAGTAAGAAGTTGATAGCATTAGGACTATCACTACATCACATTTGTACTACACATAGAGCCCAAAAGAATTCACAGACATTTCAAATATCATTGCAGGATTGAAACAGAAGTTGGAAACAATAACACCACCAGTCTTTTTTTATATTTATTGTGTGTTCTCTTTTTCCTTTTTGGCAAATAAATTATACTCACACGTGTGCAGGGAGTTCAAGAATGAATCTAACCAACCGCTTTTTGTAGTTTTGCCTCTGTACAGCACTACACTAAATTTTAAATCAGACAACCAAGAGGAGATTAAAGTATGAATTGTTGGAATCGACTGTAGGGGTCTTTAGAGGAAAAACTACAAAACATGTGCAATTGTCCAAATTCCTGTCTGTTGCTAATTATGCCATTTTTTCTTTTCATTTTATGGTAAGTAACAACAAGCCTAAATATGCTAAATCCTACTTTATTGGACTTTACTTTCTTAACATTATTCTAAAGAGATGTAGAAATTACTTTTATGTTCATTACACAAAAGCATAAGAGCGCTTTGGTGATATGCAGACTGTGTCCAGGACACAAGCAACTGCATTATGTTGCTAACACAACTTTGACTCTTTGCAAACATCTGAATAGATGTTAGGCAAAGCTAGCCAAGGACCCAGAGTCACATTAAAGCTGAGTCTATCCTGACCCCAGCCCAGCAGCCAGACGCTGATGTTCATCAGGTAACAAAGGCAGCCTCCATTTCTACCTGTACATGATGATCTCCGATCCTTGAGCTAATTTTCACCGTTATTTTGTGTTGTCGGCTTTATGTTCATACACTGAAGCTTGTGTCAAATGTTAAGTTTAAGATCTAATGTGTATCTAGAGCCAGGATGGCTGTGACTCCTGCTTCCATTCTTGACGCTAAGCTAATGATTGTTCGAACAGTAATTAACACTCAGACACGAGCATTGTACCAGTCTTCTCAGCTAACTGTCAGCAAGAAAGTTCATGTTGCAAACTAGAAAAATATAAATAACCTTATCTGAAAATATGTCATATGTGTTAGTTTCCAGGGTTCATCACTAAACTTTTATGTTCTGTGTTTTCAAGGTGCTGACTCCCTGTAGTCACAATAATCCTGTTGGATGCTGCTGTCACTAAAAAACAGAAACAAAAAAAACTACTCAGAATTCGAAACATTCACCATATTTTCTGGACTTACTGCAAACTGTGAGCAAATCAGTTTTCAGGTCACTTGGGTGCCTTAGGCCAGACACCCTCAGAGGAGACTGATCTTTTCATACACCGATGATTTCATTATACTTTAGCATAATTCAGTTTCATTCAGTCTGTGTCTGAGTCATTAAGAACACAGTCATTCATTGTTTTTCCATAAAAACTAGCGTCCATGCCTCACCCCTGTGTTAAACTCACTAAAAATGAACTAAAACAGAAAACCTGGTATTAACTGAGCATCGCACACCACTACCTTGTCTAAAGTATTACTTGATGCGACTTCTTAAACCTGAACCTTTCAGACACTTTACTTTCAGTTTTACTTCTAAATATTACTGATTTATTTATTTTGCTGTTTATTTTCACCACTTTCTTTTAGCACCGTGTTACAAAGCTGTGAAAATCAGACTGTTGCACTAAATCAGAATTGTCCTCTGACTACAACACATCATCTGCTCTGTCTTCTTCCTTCCTCACATCTCGACTCCCCAGCTGTTCGCCCTCACTTACGAGCCGATCCAGGAAGAGTGAGTGTAATTATCAGCCTCTCCTCTGACCATTTCAAAAGCTCGCAGTTAGTCGGGTGTGAAGAAGAAATGTGATTGCCTGTTAAATTTTGACACCGCAGGCTGCAAACGCTCAACACACGGATGCCACATGTGGACCTTTCTCAATTTAGAATGACAACTTTTCACTTATTCGAAGATGGAGGACAGTCAAGGCTGAAGCTGACATGTCTTTGGCAGGTCCGTCAAAGAAATGCAAAAACGAATAAAAGCTGCTCTGTAAATGTTTTATTTCATGCCCTGCTTTGATGGTGATTAGATAGAATTAACTGTCAGGTGAAATTTAGTATGAGCTGTTTATTTTTCTCCTGTATTCCGATGAGTTAACCTTTGTCTCCTTTCCAAGATGGCAATACTCAGTTCATTCAAAGAAGCTTGACCAAAAGCAGGCAATAATAGCTTTTTTGTATAATTCATGCTGGAGTGTAAACATTTTTTTTTTTTTATTACAAATGAGATTTTTAGTTCCCAAACATCACTTTTTAGCTACACAGAGACCAAGACCTTTGATATTTTGAAAAAGTATTTTTGTCCTCAGGATTTTTTTTATTTTATTCATTTATTTATTTCTTTTAAAAACAGACTTGACAGTACTTGAATAGGAGGGTTATTAGTTTTTAGCTAATGCTAGCAAATGTGGTTAGCAAGTTGCATCAATACTTAATTACTTAGTCCTACATAACAGGCTAATAAAATACTCAAAAAATTCTTGAATGGCCAAATTAGCCTACTTTCTACTCAAATCTTTTATATACCAGGGTATAAACATGCTAGTTTCAAAGCTAAAGTTGGTCATTTTAGCATGGGAGTCTGTGGGGTTGACCTGCTTTTGGAGAGAGCCTCGTGTGGCCAATGGAGGAACTGCAGTTTTCGGCACTTTTTCATGTTGGGTTCGTTTTTTCGATTTTACATCCCCAAAGGTTGTGGCTGGGTCCTAACCACCTGAATTTTATTTGAATAAAACTTTAATGAGCTTACCTAGCAAGTTACCAATTTATCTTTTACATAATGCTTTGTTAAATGACACGATGTAAAAATACTTGTTAGTTGGAAACTC